AATAGATTTTTTTTTTTTTTTTTTTCTGCGTAGGGGTGGGAGGGTTTAATACGTATGTAAAGTAAAACACAAAAGTCAGCAGACATTGACAACATAGACTTATTAGGGTTTACAGCAAAGCTATGGCAGCATGCAAGTATCAGATAGAAAATAAGTACAAATTTAAAAGTAGTTTCCTGTTAGCTAAGATTTAATAGTAAAGTCATAGGGTATGGTTGTCAGGAGATCTGGTTTATCTTTCTTAATTCTCCCACCTCAAGGGAATGTCAGCCTTAGCCATTCCAACCTTGACCTCTTTACATGCCACTGGCTTTTTTTTGGTCATTCTTATAAAAGTAATTAAAGGTCCTTGCATGCACCAGAGATGAATACTATCAGGGGTCTCAAGGTTCCCCAGATTGATTATTGAAATAATTGTTATCTCTTCGGACACACACAAATGCATCTCAGGTATATTAGATAATGAATGATTGTTGCTATTTTGAGTGAATGCAAAATCACTAGCTGGTTTTATGAAGACAGTCTGAAATCTAAAATATCCATTTTATTTCCACAGAGACATCAGTAAAAATGCCCACCTGGGCTATAAACCATTTCTTTATTGGACTATCTTGGGCTTCTGTCATGCATTTGTTTTCTTTTACGGTTCATATCTTCTGATGGGGGAAGACACTTCTCTACTGGGAAATGGCCAGGTAAAACGTCACAAGAATCATAACACTATATAATCAGTCATTTTTATTTAGTTATTTAATATTCTGCAAGAAAAAATACTGCAATATAGGACCATAAAATGGAATGTGTTATATAACTTACCTATAGCCTTTTTTTTTTTCAAGACTTTGTCTACTAAGTCAATGCAAAATGTGTTTAACCGCTTTTCCTTTATCGCATTATTAACATCTTTAAGAGCTTAAAATGGAAAATACTGACAAAGCTAAAGAGAATAGAGTCTGCTAAATCATTCACATGAAGTTCATTTCTCATCAGTTTATGGCTGCATATAACACAGGATTTTATTCACCTTCTTTCCAATGTCGTAAAACACTTAATGTCTTGAAAATTAACAGTAATTATTGAAAATCAGTATACTTTCTAGGCATGTAGGATTTGCCCTGTACAGTAGTCCTTCATACAGCAAATGTTCATGAAGACCTGGGGGGGGGGGGTTTCAGCACGTGCACTGCTCTGTTTGACTAACATTTTCTTTTAGCAAAGAGCAGTTAGTAAGTGGTATCCAACTGAGAACTCATGGCTATTTGCAAGGTCAGAATTTGTTATTAGAAAACTCAATATTTTGAATTTTTAAAACTGTGATGTTGCACTTTGGTTTCTCTTGACAACTTACAAGGACCTTAACACTTGGTATATTTAAAACCAGAGTTTGAGGAAGGTCCTCAGAATATTTGTTACTGATTCTTTGATTTGCTACATTTTTACTTCCTTATGCAGAATTCACTATCTAATTATTACTGTTCTGTGTGTGCAAACTAATTAACATAGGCCATTTACTTATATGCTGTTTAACTAGATTAATTTTCCAATATGTGCATTTGATAGTCACATAAAAATTACACTTTTGATCAAAATTTCTTTCTATGATTTTTGACGAAAGGGAAAAAAGATGCAGAAGGGAGAAGTTGCATACTGAAAACCAAAATAAATCTAAGTGAAAGTAATTATGTTTGGAACTTCTTGAACCAATTAAGGTAGCTAGTGTCCAGTTCTTTTTGCCCTTATAGAGCTAAAATAGGCAGCGATTCATTTCTTTATCTCAGTATTGCACACTTGTTTCTTTACAAATATTTTTAATATAACCCGGTAGCTTTTGTTATGCTAATGTAACACGGTATCCAACGTGCATTTTATAGTACAGGTATTTTGAGTTCTTAAATGTACTAATAGCATAACAGATTTCTTTCCTATGTAAACCAGAGACCAAGAAAAAAGTTAACGTAGAAAAACTGTTTGGTATATGTAGTAAAGTCAAAGCAATAGCATTCCTTGATCTTCACAATTTTTGGTTACTGATGGTCACTTTTAGGAACTTCAAAGTGGTGGTTTAACATTTTTTACAGGATTCCGTCTGCAGTCTGTCCTGCTTTTCTGTATGTTTTTATAGTAAATACTTGGATTTCCACCTGATGTATGTTATGAGAGATGGTCTTTGGGATAAGCATTTGTGTCTTAAACATGACCAAAATATCTAGCAACCTTTTGTATGGTGTGGAATATATTTTGATACTTATGGAGAACCAACATATTTGTCCTCAAAACTCCAAGAAAGATTGGAAGGAAGGGGTTGTAGTTTAATTAAGCCACAGGTTTATTGACTCATCTGAGACCTACTTGGCAATAAATCATGTGGTGAAGGTTGTCATTCCTTCTTTAATTGTTTCTACCTGTTGAAAGAACCCCAGCAGCCCTTCTCACCTCCAAATCTGCTCCAAGCCTGTTGCTGAGATCCCCTGCTTACCCTTCCCTGAGATGGGAGTCTGTAGTTAAAGGGGTATTGTCCCCCCACCTAACCAAATGTTAGGAGCCCCAGCCATCATTCCTCTTTTTTTAATTTCCTCATATGTTGTGAACAGGACGATCTTTAAACAGACCCCTAACATCATTTCTTGGGATTTTTTTTTTTTTGGTATTTTGGCCGTCGCAATAAAAACAAGAAGAGACGGGAACTGTGTCAATTTGTCATTGCCTACAATAGAAATTTACTATTCCTATGCCTCCAACACCATGTAGCTCACAGTATGTTTAATGCCTAACGGTTGTGGCTACTTCTGTGAAACTAAGATTCAGAATCACAAAGTACAACATATATTTACAAGGGATTGTACAGTTTAATAGACTAGTTATTTATTTTAGCACCCAATTTAATTACCTGCTATCCTCACTTCAGTGCAGCTCTTGTCTGTGCACCTTATTGTTAAACTCTGAATGCCAAGAGAACTGTATGTTACCATATAAGGATTTTTTCCCCTGTGATATGTAACTTCAGTGAAGGTGACTGGTTGTCTTGGAATCTGTAATGAAAATATATACGAGCATAGATTCTACGTAAGCCGGTGTCCTAAAGTTGTTTCTGTTTAGTGGGTTATATTGCAGTCTCAGTTTAGGCTAACACAGAAATATGCATTTCCCCTGCTTGTATGCTGTTATGTACAGAAGAATGATTTTGGTTTGAGAGGCTGTCAACCATTACCTTTATATAAATGCTTCAAAAACTAAACTTCTCTAGAGATGCACATTTTTAATTTGGTTCTGTAACAAGGGTTTTGGGGGTTTGGATCAGGTCTGTGAATACTTCCAAAGAAAGGCTCCCGCTGATGGCAGGTTAGTTACTGTGTCCCACATTCTCTATATATGTGCCATAATCTATTCACACTATTGCAGCACAGCCCTCAGTAGAACAAACTGCAGCATTACCATTTGCAGCAGTCATGCTTGCAAAAGAAATCTGCTTAAGAATTTTCAAACGGTCCCTTAATCCTGTAGATGTCTTATGGAAGGAGCCCACCTTTCTCCAGGTTTCCAAACAAAAAAGTATCTGTTTTCTAATGAATGGACAATGGTCAAACACTGTTTTGTGTGGCCAAAGTTGGACAGTTTCATAGTTTCTAGGGTCGCAAGGGACCTGAACAGATCATCAAGTCCGACCCCCTGCCCTGGGCTGGAACGAGTGCTGGGATCATAATACCCCAGCCAGATATCTATCCAACCTCTTCTTGAAGACCCCCAAGGTAGGAGAGAGCA